AGTAAAATACAATAACATCTAAACCATTAAATTAGGTTAATTAAAATCCATAATTGAATATGTTTTGATAATATATTTATTGGGTATTATAGAGGTCATCCTTATGTATAATATATTTTTCTCAAAATTTCAGTTAAGTTCAGAGTTGACTTAAAACATACTGTAACTACCTTATCGTGTTATCAATATATTTTTAGAAGGTGTCGCTCTAAAGTGTTACTAAATGACAACATATGTCCAACGAAATATATATACAGCAGCTTGCACGAGAGCTGGTAAAGTGGAAACCACACACCCAGTGGCGCGCCTTCGGGCGATCGGCTTGCTAAAGAACACCACTGGTCTGCTACCTTCCTGGAGCACAGGGCCCATGTATGTTCTCGAAGTCGCTCTCGACGATGAAGTCCATGTTGAAGTCTGGTAGTTGAAGCACTAGGGTGGTCATTTGGGCTAGCTGTAGTGCATGGAACGCAGTTCCGCCGCCTCTTCCTAGCTGAAGACCTCCTTGCGGAGTAGTGTTGTGAGTTGCGTGGCGATGGAGCCAAAGTTGCGGATGAAGTGACGGTAGTAGCCTACAAGCCCTAGGAAGCCACGCACCGCCCACGCCATCTTGGGGATTAGCCAATCCTAGAAGGCCTGGATTTTCTGGTGGTCCATCGGCACACGGAGCTTGAGATGACATGGCCAAGGCAGGCAATGGTGGTGAGGCCGATTTTGCACTTGGAGCGTGCGAGGTGGGAATGACGATCCTGCAGGGTTTGGACCATGTCGAGTTGTAGATTAGGATGTCATAAAAAACCAACATGAACCGTCGAAGGAACAGAAGGAGTATGTTGTTCATGAGCGTCTGGATGGTGGCAGAGGCATTGGTGCGGCTGAACGCCATGACCAAGAACTCGAAGAGACCCAGATGCATGCAAAACATCATTTTGTGGACATTGTCGGGGTGCACGACCACCTGGTGGTAGCCGAAGCGCATGCATGTTGAGCTTGGTGAAGAATTTTGTGCTGCGCAGTTCATCGAAAAGTTCTTGCGCCATCGGGATCAGGAACTTGTCCTTGATCATCTTGTCGTTCGGCATGTGGTAGTCGACGCGAAATCACCATGAACTATCACACTTCTTGATCATCATGGCCAGCAAAGAGAACTCCGACGCACTTGGACGGATCACACCTTGGAGGAGCATCTCGTTGCATTGACGCTCCAAATCGTCCTTTTGGATGTGGGTGTACTGGTACGGGTGCACGACGACGGCGAACTCCATGTGCTCTAGGCGGATGCTGTGGCACATGTGTTGTTCTGATGTTAGGCCTTGTGGTTAGGCAAAGATGTTGATGAAGTCATTGAGTAGTTTGTTCATGAGTTCGCCAGAGGTGCCGTCGATGGCCACGGAGTGGACGGGTGGTGGCAGAGTGTCGATGCTCACCTATGTGACGCGGTTATCGACTGGGCTAAAGGCGAGCAATTAGCAGGAGAATCCCACAAGATGACCCGAGCGTACCGAACCATTGTGCACCCAGGACGTTGTCATAGCCCCCAGTGGCAGCACGTAGAAATCTATGTCGAAGGTGCACCCAGGACAACTGTTAATTTTAACGCGCTGGGGCGGACACCGACCGGGCGACGTCACATGGTCTCCATTCACCATGGCGACACTGAGGCCGAGATAGGGGTGGAGCGGAACGTTCGCCCGTCATGCCGTGGTGTTGCTTATGAAGTTGTGGGTGGAGCTAAAGTCTAGGAGGGCGACGAGATCTGTCGCACCAGTGCGAGCAAGGAACTTGATCGTGTTGAACTTGGGTGAGTGCACGCCAGTCAAGGCATGCAACGATATGCTCGGTTCACCCACCGTGATGAACTCAATGACGAAGGACTTCTAGCAGCAATGTCTGGCGACGTACTTCTTGTCGCAATTGTAGTAGAGGCCCTCAGAGCGGCACTAGGCCATCCCTGCTAGGGAGAGACGCTTATGAGGGAGGGCAGTCACCAGGGGTTGCTTGCCGATGTGGGCAGAGGACGATGTGTCGGCTGGCGCGATCGCCATAGGCACAGCCACAGGCGCCGCAGGGAGTGCAAGCGTGGTGGCCGGCCCGCCCGTGTGGGAATGGGATAAGTGTGGACGCATTGTTCGTAGGCCCAGGCTAGCATGATGGCGTAATCCAGGGAGCGAAACCGACAGAGCGCGACATCTATCTTGAGCGGGTTCACAAGGCCTGCCATGAAAAGTTGAACGTGTTGATTCTCCGAGAGCGTAGCGTCGCGGTACACCAGCGCAAGGAAGCTATTGATGTAATCCTCCACCATGCCAATGCGCTACAACGCCATGAGTTCGCTAAGGGGGGCATCTATCATTGCTGGGCCAAAACGGGTGTGCACCAATTGGACAAATCGCCGCCAGGATGGGGCGCCGGAGTTGAGCTCAAGCCTGTAATACCACAACTAGGCATCCCCGATTAGATACAACAACACGTATCAAACCTTGCGATTCTCTAGTGTTTGTTGGCCGCGGAAGAACCTGTCGCAGCGGTTGAGCCACGGGAGCGAATGACCCTTGCCGTCGTACGTCGGGAATTCCAATTTGGTGTGGGGCAGGAAGTTGTTGTCGATAGCGGTGTCACCATCAGCACCGGTGGGATGTGCCAGGAAGGTATAACTGTGGAAGTGCGTGTCATTGTCCCCGGGCGGTGGGCAGCCATCTTGCACCATGTGCGACGCCGAGCCAGAGGAGGCGTTCGTTTGGGGAAGTGGCACGCGTTGGGAGGCCTCTATGTGCTCGATGGCGAGGTTGAGGGCACACACTTGCTCCGAATACTCTAACTCATTATCTCTGTGCTACCCCTTCTGTTATTGCCGATCTAAAAATCGACAAACATACTCCTCCTGGACCTCCTCGATGCATTCTGGCTCATAGACTCATCATGCTGGAGATAAAGACGGTAATGTTCAATCACCAACATGATAGCTAAGCTCTTATTTTCATAAGTAAACACAAACCCTGATGTCGTGGACCCAGTGCACGACTCAGAAAGGCGATAAGATGGTCGTTTTGCATCAGCACAGCCGCAATATCTTTATGGGATGCATCTGTCTCAACCACAAACAACTGAGAAAGATAAGGCTTAGGGCATAGCTATTACAGGAGCTGGAATGAGTTCCTGTTTTAGGGCTTGAAAGGCCTCTGCCACTACTAAAATAAAATGCTTTTTAAACAAAATTATTTTACCCCTTTTTAGATGATGAAAAGATTATAAATATTTTTTTTGCGGGAAAAAAGATTATAAATAATTAAAGTCTATAAGGATGAATTAAGTACGATATACTATGTTAGAAAATTATAGAAACAATACTGATAAAAAATAATTGTGGACAAATACTTTTGAAGTGTGGTAGGTGTTGTCTCGTTAATACACCATATTTATAAATGTCAAAAACTCATCCTACAATATGATACCCAAAAGACCCGCATAAATGTATCGACGAGACTACGGGTCGGGTGCCTCATAAAATTGAAAAAGTTGAGCGCCCTTCTCCGTGCTGCAATATCTATTTGGTGTAGCCGTCTCTGCATGCTTGCATGCTGCACTCCTTGTTCTCTCCTCTCACTCTCTCTCTCTCCTGTCTTCTCTCTCATGCGTAGGTTTGACGCACATCCATGCAATCTCTTTTATCAATTTTTAAATGATATTTCTCCTAAATTATTGATCTAATTTACAATCCGATTATACCATTATATTTATTGTAATTAAATCCTTATAACAATATCCCGCATGATCATATTATGAGTAAAAATGATTATATTTTTAAGTAAAATACTTTTATATACTATATAAAACATCGAGGTGCGATGGTTGAAACATTACGTAATATTTACTGAAACATTCATATAATACAATGTGCAACATTTTCAAATGAATCAATAAAACATCGGACTAAGTCACATCCACGTAACACACCACATGCAACATTTGATAAAAATTCATTGGAACATAAAAAGTTAAAATGTGCAACGTAGTTGGATTCCAACTGAAACATAAAAAGATCTTGTTTTGCAGATTTAATTACAATGAGTTTGGTGGTGTAAGTAGATTGAAGATTGGATGAGTAATTTCAGAGAAAAAGTATTTAAAACTTGCTAATAAATCTATCTTTTACACATAGCAAAGTCCTAAGGGCTTTCATAGCACGTCACAAAGTTTTGGTGGGCTTCACATGCCACCTAGACCAAGAACAATGTTAGCCACATGTTCCACAGTGCAAGTTCCTTATAGTTGTTCCCACCAGTACTACTTTACTTTTCACTTTTCCCCTTCCCTCTCTCTGAAATTTTTACATTTTGGTCCTTTTTAAAAACTTATTTTACAAATAGACCCCTGGGAAAACTTAAACCGGAAATGGTCCTTTCGGGGCGCCAGAGTGGCTGACGCTGTACCCCAACATGGCGGCGCCAGCCATATTGGCGCCGAGCCCGTGCCACCGTGGCACTAGGGCTGTCGTGGAGGTGCTGACTAGGCAGAGGGGGGCGCTAGCCAGAGTGGCGCCGCCCCTCACACCACAGCGCCAGCATGGCTGGCGCGCCCCTCCTCTGCGGGCCCCACCATCTTCCCCCCCCCTAAAAATTTTCGCCAAGTCTATTCTGCCTCCGGGCAACGGCTAGCGCCCCCCCAGACCGCGGTGCCAGGGTGGCTGGTGCCGCCCTCCTCCCCCGCCCGAAACCCTTTTGCCTCCGGGCCTCGGCTGGCGCCGCCTCATGGACCACGGCGCCAGGGTGCATGGCGCCGCCCTCCTCCCCCCACCGAAACCCTTCTGCCTCCGGGCCTAGGCTGGCGCCGCCCTCATGGACCACGGCGCCAGGGTAGCTGGCGCCGCCCTCCCCCCGCCCGAAACCCTTCTGCCTCGCGGCACTGGCGGGCGCCTCCCTTCCCAGCCCTCGCACCAGGGTGGTTGGCGCTGCCCTCTGCCTCCCTGCAAATTGAAGATCCATATTGCACAAATGTACCAATTCACAGTTCGCAATTCAAATCACAATTCACAGATTCATACAGACTAAAACAAGTTCCAATTGCACAAATCACAATGCCAAAAGTCCATCATATAGTCCTCACATAGTCCATCTCATATTCCACACATCAAACAATGCCAAAAGTCCATCACATATTCCACACATCAAACAATGCCAAAAGTCCATCACATATTCGACACATCAAACAATGCCAAAAGTCGATCACATAGTCCTCACATAGTCCATCACCTTTTATATCACATAGTGCACCACATATGTCATACTACCAACAAATAGATTAACTTCATACAAATCACTTCTTCCATTGGCGCCGAATTGCTTGCGAGCCCGGAGTGTACCTACATTTGAAAATACAATGTTTAAAACATATTAAAAACAAAATGAGGGAAATCAAATAACATTTTAGAATGGTAAGCTCATTTTACCTCTTTTTCGCTGCCCGAGTAGATCGCAAGTTGTATTGCGTGGGTTGCGTCCCCTGAGGTGCGTCGGGAAGCTACGACATGTCTATCTCCTCAGTGTCTGGTGCGACGTAGTCCTCATCCTCGTCGTCGTCGTCGTCATCGTCATCGTCGTCGCTAGGTGGAGCCGGCGCCTTCCCCTTTCCCCTCCCTTGCGGAATGCGTGACGATGATGAGCCACCAACTTCTTCACGCTCTTCTATCCTGATGGAGTGTCGAGCAGTACTTGGACGCGCGGATTGAGGTAGTGGTGGTGGTAGTCTCCACGGTTGGTACACGTCGTCCAATCCAACCGACCTGCAACCTAATCTTGCTACAAGTTTCCGGCACCTTTGACGAACTTTCTGCATTTCAAAAAAAAAAGAAGTTTGTTAGGCATAACTCAAGTAATGCAAAGTGCTAAATAAATTTTACCTCTAAAACATTGCGGAGTGTGTTCTCCGTGTCCTCACCAATAAAAAGGGGTTCTAGGGTTACCCTTCGATCTACAAATTCAACCAATAAAAACGAAAAAAAAGAGGGGGGAATGGAGGAGTCTACCTTTCTCTTCGATTTCTACAAAAAATCCCGCGAAAAACGAGTTCAAATGTAGTGGATTTGAGGTGGGGAGGTGAGGGGGAGAGACGAG